ATTTCCAGCGCATTCGCCTCGTCTCCGACATCTCCTCTGCTTTCTCGGCCATTCAGCGATTCGTCGGCGTCTCCACAGCCCCGCTGTCCTCCTCTGTGCAAATTAGCTCCTCGCAGTCCCTCTCGTCTTCCCGTAGCAGTCACCCTGATGACGGCGGCGCCATTAGCACCACTCTAGGTTAGCTCCCCAGGCAGCGCGAGGAGATGGGTTAGGAGAGAGGAACACCGGAATGGGAATTCTAATAGACGTTTCTGCGATTTATGGGAGTCTGTCCTGATATCCAAAGCATGTAGAAATCTCCCAACGGCATGCGGAGTGAGAAATTTACGACCTGAGTGTCACCCTAAAGCTGTCATCGTCGCCGGTAATTGCTCGGCTCTCGTACTCATGTGGTTTTTATACGGTGGGGAAAATTGGTTCCTGCACTTAAATGCTTCTCTGATTCAGTTGTTGCTGTGAGTCACACGTTGACAGGAGAGATGGAGGGAGAGAAGATGAATAATACGAGAAAAAAGAGATGCTTTATTAGTTTATTCTGATCACACGTTCGGCTGTCGCACAAACGCAGCACCTAGTGAGAAGCAAAGAGAAAAATTGTGTTTTTGCCGCTGAGTAAACAGAGGGGCGACACTCCTTTCCACTCCTTCCCTTCCATTCGGTGGCACATTCCATGAATAAGGTACACTTAGTTGTCCCGGGACTCTTTTTTTAAAGCCTTAGAGGCGTAGATCCCATGTGTTGTTGTTGTGAGATCTAGATATGTTAGATAACATTTGTTACCCTGGAGCACAAAACCAGTCAGAAGTCGCATGGCTATATCTGTAGCAATAGCCAAAAATACTTTGTTTCGGTCAAAATTATCGATTGTTCTTTTATGCCAAAAATCATTAGGATATTAAGTAAAGATCATGTTTCATGAAGATATTTTGTAAATGTCCTACCGTAAATATATTAAAACTTAATTTTTGATTAGTAATATGTATTGCTAAGAACTTCATTTGGACAAATTTAAAGATGATTTTCTCAATATTTAGATTTTTTTGCACCCTCAGATTCCAGATTTTCAAATAGTTGTATCTCTATGGGATGATATTAGACTCAAAATGATTAATAGACGCACGCACAATTATTCATGTACTGCATACATTTTATACATGTATCTTACTAACCACAAACAAATGCCTTTCAATTTGAGTCTGTGGAATTCAGGATTAAATGATTGTGCAGGGATTTGTACAAATACAGACATGTTTGCGAATAAAAATGTTCTGTTCTGCATTAATATATCATAAATTGCTGATGCAAAAAGGATTCTGTGCATATGTGGATCAGGTGACATGCGTGCATTAATTGACGTCTAGTTCGCGTCGATCTTGTTCGGTTCATTTGGATTTTGAGACTTCATTTTCGCAGTTTACAGCATTTCACGACGCTCACACACACAACTACCAACGAACAAGGCCCAGTGCAATTCATTAACGTGTACTCGATTTGAAAAATTTGCAAATGTGCGTCACTACACTGAATGTATATATATATATATATACACCCACATACACACAAACACACATATATATAAATAAATAAGTTTTATATCAATATAAAAATTAATTAATAATAGTGATAATAACATAATTGCACACAATAAGCAAAATAATAAAGTGTGATAATGTTATTATATTTTAAAAATAAAAAGGGAGTGTTACGTACAAATACAGTAATTTTGTAGTAAACTTCAAAATAAAATGCTAATAACTTTTTTTAAATATGAATTTTCATCATTTTCAAAATTAAAATCAGCAAGCTATTATTTTGGCAGGTTGCCGGCAAGTAAGTATATCCCCTTCCGGGTTTAGCGCTGTCGATTGAAGAGCGCAAGTGAATGAAACATCACAGTTTTGCCTTGTGCTTTGAAAAGGTAGCCTAGATTTATGCTTTCAGTTTGAACAGAAATCTTGTACTGTATAGTTACTGTATAAATACTGTACAGTTTGTCGATCTAAAATGGTAATTGTGTATTAACATCTGTCAACCATGTCGATACGCAAATGAGTGGTCTGAACTTACACAGCACATTTTTTATTTTGGCCGCACATACGCACCTGGGGACCACTTATGTGCACCCTTGTATATAGTTATTTTGAAAAAGGGAGTGTTACGTACAAATACAGTAATTTTGTAGTAAACTTCAAAATAAAATGCTAATAACTTTTTTTAAATATGAATTTTCATCATTTTCAAAATTAAAATCAGCAAGCTATTATTTTGGCAGGTTGCCGGCAAGTAAGTATATCCCCTTCCGGGTTTAGCGCTGTCGATTGAAGAGCGCAAGTGAATGAAACATCACAGTTTTGCCTTGTGCTTTGAAAAGGTAGCCTAGATTTATGCTTTCAGTTTGAACAGAAATCTTATACTGTACAGTTTGTCGATCTAAAATGGTAATTGTGTATTAACATCTGTCAACCATGTCGATACGCAAATGAGTGGTCTGAACTTACACAGCACATTTTTTATTTCGGACGCACATACGCACCTGGGGACCACTTATGTGCACCCTTGTATATAGTTATTTTGGGAAGAAATGCGACATGGACATGTTTCCATGAGAATTACTATTTTATGCTCAGTCACAGAATATATGGTGCATCGCTTATAAATTTCACAGCATTTAAAGGTCTTATTGCTTTTTCGTTCTGTGAACTTTTTTCGGTTTGTACAATGAGGTTGGAGTGTGGAAGAGCATTGTAAGAGAAATGATTAGCTCCAGGGCTTCTTAATCTGGGCTCCTATTTCAGTTTCTGCCACTCACTGGCTCTATTTCTTCCTTTGAGGAGAGAAAACTCTTCAGTGTAACAAATTCCACCTGAGTGCTTTTTAATCACTGCACACACTCTTTGATTGATTAGGCCTCGCGAGTCCTCCTCCGTGGATTTCCAGCGCATTCGCCTCGTCTCCGACATCTCCTCTGCTTTCTTGGCCATTCAGCGATTCGTCGGCGTCTCCACAGCCCCGCTGTCCTCCTCTGTGCAAATTAGCTCCTCGCAGTCCCTCTCGTCTTCCCGTAGCAGTCACCCTGATGACGGCGGCGCCATTAGCACCACTCTAGGTTA